ACAGAGAGTTAAAAAGGGTATATCTTGGTTAAAGAAAGAACTATAGTCTCTGAAGGCTACTTTCCATTAATAGTACATAAATTTGAACATGTTTTAACACTGGCCACACAAGAGAAAAGCTCTTAGTTACTTTAAGTTGGTATAAAAGGTCTTTCCATGCAGAGGCAAGGTTTTTATTTGTTTGCATTTTCAAAGCTAGGCGAATCTTCAACTGTATCATTCACAATCATTGACATTGTCATTTCACTATTTTATGTGTGTTGTGCAGAAAGAATTTATTGGATTAGAAATTGATTGTTGAGTACAATCAATATTATGCACCACTTTCTTTTGGTATAAAGCTCTGTAATGCTATGTTCATGCTGTGCTCAGTGTTGGACCTCCTTGCCCAAATACACATTTTTTACTCTTCCTTCCTTGGAGAAAAAAAATGACTACTCTTGGGTAAGGTACCTCCTTTTAACAGCATGAAACTTTTCTGTAAATGTTCTTTTCTGTCTGATACTTGTTTCACAGACAAACGTACACAATTTTTGGAGGTGAGAAAAGGGAACAGGTAAAGTGGAGGGGGGTGAGGCACAAAACATAATCTGGATTACGTGTGCACAGGTGCTTAACCTGTGTTAGTACATAACTTTATAAACTGTGATGTAGATATTCTAAAATAATACTCATTTTTCAGACTCAGCTCAAAAGTTTCCAAGCAATCCAGAGAAACCTGCATTTTTTTCTGCTCAGAGAAAGAGGGAAGCAAAATGAACTGCAGGGAAGAGGTGGTGTGAATGAAAGGAGTTTAGGGAAATTAGACAGGCCCAAGTTAGTATGGGGAGAGTTGTAGGGAAGGAGGTAGAGATGGAAGTAAGAGCATCTCTCTACATACCTGTAAGTCTGCCTTGCTAAAGCACCCTGTCATCTGAGAAACACCCTTTTTCTCTAATGAAGGGATGGTTTTCAGGAAGAGGAAATAACTGGTTTACACATAAATACTCAAGAACAAAAGCAGTCACTTCTGTAAACCTGTGAATTAATGCTATGCCTTTTTTTTTAAAGGATCATTTCTTGAGAGACATTTTAGTGTAATTATAAGCTATCAAGAAATGGGAAAGAATTTTGCAATTTTGTATGTGGGCCTGAATAAATAGATCCATTGAGAGACAGACAGAGCAAGTCACTTGGAATGCACCAGTCAACAGCAGAAATGTAAACATACTCCAGCTATGCTCTCTGCACTTGTATTTCAGCGTGTTGCAGAACAAAACTTCTATTAATGCAGGCTGACTGCTGTACTTGTTGAATTCAGTAGTGAGTCTCTCACAAAATCCAGCTAGTTCACAGATCATGGATGAGAACCACACTGTGTCTGCCACTCTGGAAACTCAGGAGGACAGAAACTTGCTGCAAAGGAGACTCTGCTCTGTCTTAGAATGAAATGTATGAAGTTGGTTTGCAGAGCTGACTAGGTTTGGAGCAAGCCAATAAAATGCTGAGGCCAACAAATCTTTGTCTCTATGTTCCAGTGTGTTTGAACAACCTTATCTCATAGACAGGTACATCTACCATATATTAGTCTTCATCTGGTACTAGTCCTAATGAAATAACATCCACTAAGACTGTTGCTTTCTGAATTGTCATAATTATAGAAGCCACTCTCAGACTGTTAGAGCCTTAGCCTTTAAAAAGTAGCGGGTTACTGGAAAAAACTGTAAAAATCAAACACAATTCAGTTGGTTGTATTGAAACTAGTCTTACTCTGACTGTAGAGGAGCAATATTAATTGTCTGTATTTAAAAACAAAATAACTTCCTTATCATATCTCTTGATGTTTTTTGTTTAATTTTTTTTTTCTTGACAAAAGGAATGTGGGGCTTTTTTGTGAGGGGAGTTTAACAGTGATACCAAGAAGGAAAGCTTAATTTCAAACAGAGTGGTGTTAGATCTGTGCTCCAAGAGGCCTAACTATCTAGAAAGCAGGTCTGATGTGCAACAATCTTTAGCTTGTGCTGGTGAAATATCTTGACAAACAGAATGTCCTTGACTATGAAAAGCTTCTTATGGCGTTTTGTTCTCCACTTTTTCTTTTGATTGGACTGTGAGGTACCTCAAAAAGTAGCATGAGATACTGAGCTGCATGCTGGAATTCCCTTGCCTTTTACAGGTCTTTCTTTGATATTGTGTAAATCACTTTTTTCTTCAGCTGCAGATTTATTATAAGTCAAATGAATTATTACAGCCTCTTGTGCAGTCTCTTGATTGGGAGGTACTGGCATGACAGAGACATCATAGTACAGCATAGTAAAATCAAACTCTGAGCAATAGTTTCCTTATATGTTTAAAAATAAAAGGTAAATATCAGTTTAATAAGACAGATGAACCTTAATTGCTAAATGTTTATAGAAAGTTTTGAGATGGTCAGAGGCCAGGTCCTGTGCAAATGCAGTATTTTATTAAAATATTTAATAACCAGATTCTCTGATGCAATTGAGGGAACAAAGATGCCTGTCCACTCTTAATTTTCCCTACCCATAATAATTTCCATAGAATATAAATTACATATTGTACAGCTTTATTCTGTTTTCAGAGGATAATTATACTAGAAATTCCAGCCTTCTTTCTGTGGAGGGACCTTTTTCTCAGAAACCACACCTTGTAGCAGTCTGTTTTTCATTTGAGAAGGGCTGAATTTCCATTAATGTCCACAAGTTTTTATGGGTTGGTGCCTTTCAAGAGATGGATACAGGTAAAATGTATGTTTCCCTTACTCACAAGTCATCATAATTCAGTCTGGAAGATGTATGTATTGGAAGCTGATGATATAGGAGTGGAAGCTTTTTTTTACGTGTGTAATATGTTAGAGATTACTTCTAATTTCAGGCCTGCTATTGTAACAGAGAGAAGCCTGAAATTCCTGTTGTAGTCATCTGAGCATCTCCAGTGGTATCTCTGTGCTGAGAGGGAACTTGGACTTGGTGTCAAATGAGGCAAGGCAGGATGCAAAATGGACAGTACCAGTTGCTCTGTCTATGAGATTGGAGGCTATGAGATTTATGCAACCATTTAAGGAGTTTAATAAAAGGAAAGGCAGGGTCTCAAAGTAAGGTTCACAACCCACTTTTGACATACCAGGAGGGACAAGCAGCAAAACATTCTCCAATATTAGAGACTGACAGACCCCATATATTTTCAGTTTCCTAAGAGCAAATTACTGTTTCAGAAAAGTTCCAACTTTTTAATAGTCACACTCCACTGTTTTTAAACATCCACAAGTTGCAAAATTATATTCCCGTCTGAATAATTTTAGTAAGAGGGTAGCACCAAGGAAACTGAATTCAGTTAAAAAAAAAATCCTGTTCAAGTCTTACTTCTGCTGGAAAAGTTTGTTTGTTTTTTTATGTAGCTGTGGTGTACTCAAAGCTTTTTTTTTCATCATTGCATATGCAAAATCCAGACCTGCAGAACTGTTCCATGTGGTGAACAGTCTGCTAAACCCAGACTGTTTTGCCTGAGTAGCAGATTTCCATATACCTCATTATGAGTTTGGGATTTTTTTGATTTATGTAGACTCTGTTCCTTCAAAGGGATGTATGACTGTAGACCTTTATATGTACCAAAGTGATTTCTTATCAAGTACTAAGGAAAATACAAAGGCAGGTCCAGTTGGAGAATATGAGCATTTTTTTTTGCAGAGAACTTTCTTTCTAGCCAGTTTAATTTATCATGGAAACACCATGTAAACAGAAGGCCACAAAGTTACTTAGCTTTTGAAGTTTTTAATGGTGGCCAATGAGTTTTTGGATGGTTAGTGAATGATGTAATCCACAGTGTGTAATGCAAATTCATATCCTTTTTGATTGGTAAGGGACTATAAGAAAGATTTAGGTCAGTACTGCTAAAAGACAGTAGCACAGACTTTATCTCATTAAATACAGCCTGATTTAAATAAGTGTTAGATCTTTCCACACCAAAGAAGCAATTATCCTTGGTAATAGCAGGTGTGCTTGAGTCTTCCATGCTGTGATAAAGGCAAATGATTAGGGTACTACTAAATACATCTCTAAGGTTATCTTATTTCTGTGGATTCCTACCACTCAGATTTCCAATCTGTGCATGGACAGAGTTAATATCCTTGGTTTTATTATTTCCTTCTGGGGATGAACAAAATCATAGAATCAGGGAATATAATTATGAAACAATGTAGACTGGAGAGAGCATCTGGAGGTTATCTGGCCAAACCACTCCTCAGAGCAGGGCCAGCTTAGATCTGTGTGCTCATGGCAGTCATTCAGCTGAGCTTTGTGGACCACTGAGCACCACTTCAGAGGAGCCACTGGCTCCATAATCTCTTGAATTTTCTGTTAGATAATTGAAGGCATCAGTACACCTTCAATAACAATATGCCTTAAACTCCCCTCCTTAACAGCCCCACCTACCCAGTGTTCTCTGAAGACTGGACAAACCCCTTACATCATCATGTACCTCATAAACTTTCTGACCCACTGCCCTCTTAATCTAGTAGGTTAACATCTGTGTTGTGTTGGAAGGTCCAAAACTGGAGTAGATGATATCATCAATGTTTGCATCTGGCCATCTATAACTCCTCAGTCCAAATTATTTTGATTATACTTAGCTGTATTGACTGAAGGTGGTTTTTGGAATAATTAAGACTTCAAGTCTCACACAACTAACAAGATACCTGAACTACAGTATTCCACATCTTATTGATGAGGTCTAAGGAACAGAACTGTTCACAATGAAAAAGCTGTTTCCTGAAAAAATGCTTTGCATTAAGTGATACTCCTAAGTGGGTTTTTTAGAGTGGGTCATGTTATAACCTGTTTTTGTAGATGGTATCACTCAATATTTCTTCTTATCACCACAGCATAAAATACACTTCCTCATGGCCCACTGACTTTAAGCATAGGGAAAGAGGACTGTGCAGAAATCATTTTCAGATCCCAGGGACCGTATGTATAATGTACTGTTAAATTAACTTCTGTTTCTAGTGCGCTTGGAGGATCATCCGCCCTTCACATCCCAGCCTTTCCTGGTGGAGGTTGTCTTATTGACTATGTACCCCAAGTATGCCAGCTGCTAACAAACAAGGTAAGTTAGTAAAGACAACTCAGTTTTCCTTTTCATTATGGTCTGTATTGCATTTCCATAGAAATCGTTATTCTTCTCCCAGGTAGTCCGGGCAAGGCATACTTAAGCTGAACTACACAGGGAATAGCTTTTTGATAAGAGCTGAGCACCTAAGCAGGACGTTGAATATAACAACTCTTTTAGGTAAACAAGTGACGTTGGGGTCAGATCCTGGAGCAGTTTTTTTCTTCATGTGACATGTTCCGATTTAGGGTAAAATGTTACTGTAATGTATAACACTGCATTGTAGCATACTATTTTGTTAGTATCATAGAATCATAGAATCATAGAATAGATTGGGTTGGAAAAGACCTCCAAGATCATCAAGTCCAACCCCTGATCCAACTCCAATTACTATATCATGGCACTAAGGGCCACGTCCAATCTCTTTTTAAAAACCTGCAGGGATGGTGAATCCACCACCTCTCTGGGCAGCCCATTCCAATGCCTGATGACTCTCTCTGTAAAGAATTTTCTCCTGATATCCAACTTAAATTTCCCCTGGTGGAGCTTAAGCCCGTGTCCCCTTGTCCTATTGTTGGTTGCCTGGGAGAAGAGACCAACCCCCGTCTGGCTATAGTAAATACAAATGTGTAGTTTGCATTTTATTTTTCCATTTGGGAGTTCTCATACCTAGTCATCACTAAGTTTTGAATACTTTCAGTGATTTTTATTCTCATACGTTTCATCCAAATGAACTGAATCAGCAGTCTGTTTGGATGTAATAGCTATTTAGGGTTGCTGAAAAGGTTGTGTTCCTGTTAGCTTACTGTTTAAACAAAAAAGAACAATTATAGTATTTTGAAAGTTTCTCCATTATTTAAGAGTACTTTTCAAAAGAAAGCTTAGGGGCCAACATCTAGAAATTTACCTATTACAAACTTCGCATTTGTTTATTATTTTTACTTTCAATTGTCTAAATGAAGAAAATAATTTTATCTTCTAGAAAAAGTTCTTCAAAATGTGCTTCCATAATTATATTGACTCTATCCTTAGAGTTGTTTTTGTTGTGGTTTTCTGTTAAAATTACTCTCTGTTTTTAAAATCTGCAAGCATACAGGACTGTTTTTATCCTTTCTTAAACGAAGTCATTTGAGCAAACTTATCGTGCGTTTTCCTTTTCCCAAAATAGCATTTCAGATCCTACACAGAGCCTTCAAAATAATTGTAGTTTTTTTATAAAATGAATATATTTCAATGTGTAAATAGAATTCAGCTTTAAGGTATACAAGATAGCTCTCAGCAATGAATGTATCAAGACCTTTTCAGTAATTTTAGGAAAGCATTTGCCAGCCAAGAAATTCTGGTATTGCCATAGCCAAGAAAATACTCTTCCTGTTCCTTTCAGTGAGGAGAAAAAAAGGTTTCTAAAATACAGCTTTTAGTTCTGGAAAGTAAAGGAATTTACATAGAGTATCATATATGGAACCACACCATAAGTACTTCAAGTCACCAGTTCTAAAGCAGATGCTCTTGCAGCCTCACAACACATGCATTGTTTCTGTTTTGGGTCAAGCCGTGTTCACACTGTTCTCCTAAGTAATGCCATTCAAATCAATAAGAAAATATAGATGGTGCAAGGAGAATTTTGCTTTAAGTCTTCCAAATTTAGCATTGTTGGATTTTGTCTGTGCCAGGATGGAAGCCTTTCAAAACCCAGAATGCCTCAGAAGTTGATGCTCGCAGTTGAGTAGGTGGATCCCTGAGTCAGCATGAAACCAGTGACAGAGCTTAGTGTTCAGAAGATTTTGTTGGAGATGCAGTCTTCACAAAACACCCAAGATCAGTTATGAAAGATACTTATTTTTGTCTTTTCTTTTATAACCAGAATGTTATTTCGACACTTAACCTACTGTCAGTTCAGGTAACTGTGATTTGTCTGTCACAGCTTTCTACTCAAACCTCAGTAAGGCAAGGCTGAGCATTTCTTTCCTTCACTTTTTATCTTGTGCAGTTAAACAGTGCTTCAGTCTATTGTGAAAAACTTAAGTTTCACTCAAACGTGAGTGAAGAGATTTCTCTGCAAGATGTTCTGTGTGCAAGATCCAGGGCTTGTTTTAAAGGCATTTTAGGATTCTTTAAGGAAATCACACAAGGTAAATGTAGGTTTCAGAACTACTACCATGTCAAACATAAATCTTCCTTTACAAGAACTATATGACAAACTGGGATTTAGCTTTTTTTATCTTTTTATAGCTCTGGATTTATTTTCTTCTTTCTTTTTTCAGGTACAGTATGTTATTCAGGGATACCATAAGAGAAGAGAGTACATTGCAGCTTTCCTGAGTCACTTTGGAACGTAAGTTTTCCTGTGCTGCATTATATTCTGTAACATGGGGGAAAGTAGTTTTCTGCACGTGGTTTGTGGTTGTGTGACTGCTGTCCACTGGATGAAATGAAATCTAGTCATTTTTCACAGAATGATGTGTATAGCTTGTCTCTCTGTAGCAGTACTGTAATGAAGGTCAGCATTATTTCACTTCTGTGCCAGTTGCCCATCTGATTTTACTAGAAAATAGCTGATGATGGGAAAAGGCCAGTAAGGATTTTCTCCTTGTGCAGAAGAAATGTGCTTATTTCTGAATAAATGACTTGAGAGGTCTTACAGTAATAGGCAGTGACTGAGGTGGGAGAATGGGGAAGCAGGTCTAAGCCTTGCAGGAGCCAGAAGCCACTGCTTGGCATAAAAACAGGACTGGGAGACCAGCTGCTCCCACCACCAAGCAGTATTTTGTCTCTCAAGAGAAGAGGCTGTTGGGCCATGTTAGGTTCCTGCAGATCAAGCAGTGGCCATGGCCAGGCATGATGACACATTAGCTTCGCAAATCAATTAACCAGGGCTACCCTGGGTCAGCACTTTGGTTTCCCACCTAAATTCTGACTAGAGTGAAAGTCCAAGCCTCTACCTAGTTGTGATGAATGGTTTCTGCTTCCAAGGAGTGATGCCAAATGACATGGATATTCGGGAGCCCTTCAAATCTCGTGTCTCTCAAGCGAGCTTAGGAAAACAGGTGGCTTCTAGCACGGACCCAGATTTAATACAATGATAATTAGATAACGGTGACTTGAACTGGATATACAAGTAGACAGTCAATGCAAGCTCAATCTTTGTCAAGACAAGGTATTTCCTTTTCTTCTGAGAAAACTACAGTATAGAAATGGCCAGGTGCACCTATGATTTTATTATATCTACAATGTAGTTCATGAGTTCTGATACTGCTTGAGTTTTTTAGAGAATACCAACTTCTGATAATTGAAACTTGTAATCCATCTGTTGAACAAGTCTTCTATATCGAATTTTTTGTATGCTCTCATGTTTTGTTTTTATATACGCTCTTTTCAATTTTCAAATTTAAACTCTACTCAGCCTGCATATTTTCAGTTTTACCCTCTCACTTACTACAGAGTTAATAAGTTACCTTAATCTCAGTAAGATACAGGAAATTTTTGTGTCCGCAGTTTTACCAGTTTAGGACTGCAGATGCATTAGCTGATCTCCTTTCATTCTGAAGTGCGTTTATGTAAACTGAACATGGCCTTTCTTTGGGTAAGAAACTCCAATAACACAACATAATTAAGATTATTACAAGTTTAATTTACAGTTAGCTAGACAATTTTAAATGTTAATAAACGAAGCAAATACTGGAAGTTTCTGAGCAAACAAACAAAAATAACAATCCCTGTAATACAAAATTTACCTATTAATCATTCAGTATTATAAGGTAAAAATTATATTAATTTTTTGTTGTTTTTCTGTTGACAGCGGTGTGGTGGAATATGATGCAGAAGGCTTCACAAAGCTCACTCTGTTGCTGATGTGGAAAGATTTTTGCTTCCTTGTTCACAGTGAGTAACACTTTGCCTCAGGCATAAGTGTCTATCCTCTTGAAGATACAAGTTCAAAAGGGAAAAAATACAATTACAGGAAACAATTTAAAAGTTTTAGCTGTTTTTATCCAGTGCTTAATCTATTTTTGATGTGACCATGACACTTAGAAAACACAAAATCCTAATTGTTTTTGGAGATGGGGGGAATTGGAGAAGGGGAGAGGATCCACATCAGTAGTGAGATGTCAGCTTTACAAAACACCAAAAGCATCCTGGGGAGGTTTTCTGGTAATATGATGCAAGTTCAAGTTCATGGTTGTAACTTGGCCTTTCAGAAGTGTCAATAATGAGAACTAGTATTTTACTCAACCCGGGAATACCTAAAATCTTCTGTAGTTGTCAGGAGTTAATGCATTGATACTAACTGTAAAGGCTCTCTGTTTAATTACATGAGAAATACACTATACTGTCATTAGGATCCAAAAGATATTCCTAGACTGAAACTGTGTAGGCAAAACTGTCTTAACAATGTAGCTAGATTTGCTGTCATTTGAAAGTTTTAAAAAAGGATTGTGTTGCTTTCAAAAAGACATTCTTAATTAAATATATAGGAATTACTCCATGTGGATTAGTAAATGTGGCTTTGTTACATGTTACCTTTTACATGTTTCTTTAAGTAGTAATTACTATTTTTCCCTATGCTAAGGTGAAATTCAGAGGTATCAAAGGTATTTTTGTCTGGGGAAATTCGTTACTCTTTAGTTTGTTTGTTATGCTTCTTATTTATGTTTAAAAGAATTGCATTGCAGTTTGAGCAGCTGCAGCATTGGTGTTTGTTAACATTCTAGCGCTGGTATCTTTTGAGATTACTTCATTTTTGATTGTGGGCTAGCTTTCCATGTGGAAAACTGACACTGTCTTGATGGCATCATAGAAATTTGTCCCAGAGTTTTTGATGCAGAAAGTGAGGATTGCCATTGTTCAGAGAAGTCCTTCACCCTGTGTTGTGTTGGAGATCAAAAAAATGGTCTCACTAGTTCCTTTCTGTTTATTACCTAAGATTACCACACAGTAGTGACCTTAAGAGGCCTAGAAAATTCAAACCTGAAATGAAAACACTTCCATCATATTATTATGAATTACGTTATGGAAAAAAAAAATTAAAGCTGATATTTTTTGGAAAATTATCCTTGTTAAATCTTTACTTACCTTTCAACTACAGTTGAGAATTGGTCACTGGAGATTTGTCTTCTATGAGATGGCACTTACTTATGTACAGCTTTCTTGGAGATTTCCTACCTTTCTTACTCCCCAACATGTTTGGGTTAATTGAATCTGTTAAAATTCATGTGGATTTGACTTGTGCTGTAGGATAATATAACTTAATACATGTTGAATCAGTTAGATTTCAGGGGAATCAAAATTCAAATTTCTGCTAAATAACAGAGTAGGTTTTAACTGTGTAATATTCATAGTATTCAATTAAACTGGCATGAAAGGTACAATTATAACTGAATAGTTTATCACTATGTATTAACCCTGTGGCCTTAAAAATCATACAGTGTCTTAGCTTTGTAAGCCATTGCATCACCCGCTTGTTGAACAATCCACTGCAAAAGCATTTATGTTCCTTGCACTGAAGGATATTGCAATGAAAGGACCTAAACCTGCACTTCATTTCCTGAGTGAAGTAATATAGGCTTTCATCTCTTAACCACTGACATAACTATGTATATTATGGTTGAATATTTAGCAAGCGTCTAATAAAATGTCTGGGAGAGATAGCAATAAGTTGAAAACTGCTCTGCTTCATATATTTAGTATAGTATGTAGATAAAGTATTCAGAGGAGAATAAATAGGTCAGTATACAGCAGGCACCATGGCAAATCAAATGAAAGGTACCATAGTAAATTTTACTGGCATCTAAATTTCAGTTAAAATTTTATGTTTAATTGAGATGCTGAGATTTATAAACCCTGACATGAGTTGTATTTCCTTTAAAAGATCCATTCAGAGATTTCAAAAATAACTTTGACATTGTTTTGCAGCTATTTGCATTCCAAGTTACAAACTTATTTGGACACTAGGAAACAAAAAAGGATCAGAAGTAAGGTGAAATTATTCAGAATAGTTTTATTGAGTAAACTGGGTTGAAGGAGAGAGAAACAGGAAAATAGTTCTGAATTGCCAAAACCCAATAACCTTAGAACAATTTCACTTGCTAAAAAAACTGATTTGTGCTGTAGTCACAGAATGAAGAGCAAAGTCTACTCACTCTACCTTAAAACACCAAAGAGCTACCTAGTTGCAAACTTAATCATTAGATTAATGAAGCTGCTGCAGTTATTATATTAGATCAAAGACCAGTCAAAGGAACTGTTGCTTTAGTGGTTTAGTTTTAAGAATTAATCAAGTGCTTTCAAATATAAGACAGAAGAAATAAACATTTAGAGAAGTTCATGCGTCCACATGGGAAAGGAAATTGTTAATCAGTCATACTGCTTTTGATATTGATACTGTTTATGAGTAAGTCTCTGTATGAAGCTTTGTAAGTAAACTTCAATAGACTGCCAATTTCTTTCTCTTCTTGTTTATGAATCAGCTATGATTAGTTTTTGCAGACAAGTATTTCTTCATATTCTTGTTCCTCCATACAGTCTGTGTATTTATACCATATATAAATCATAGTATTATTTAGGTTGGAGAATACCTTTAAGATCCAGTTCAGCCATTGATGCTATAATCAGAACAATATTAGATAAAACCACATTAAATTATCCATACATAATTAAGAATCAAGTAGCCTTATTGGTATAAACACAAGAATAGAACTCTAAAGCAACCTTTATGTGGGCTTTTCAAAGATTAATTTTTATCTTGCAAGATTTTTAGGTTGTCAGCACAAAGGAAAGTGACAGAAGTTGGATTGGTTGCAATAGCAAATGAAACACTGCTTGTGTTAGTGATTTTTAAGATTTAAGATGTCTTGGAAAGGACAAACATTAAATTAAGAAAGGTTTGTTTCATTGAACAATGTTTCAGGGGATGGAGAATGCTTGAAGCTGCGAGCATTTGTATTTCAAGTTTGGAGGGGATCTCAGCCAAGGTGGAGTTGGTGGGAATGTTTGCTGGAACTGACTTTGCCTAATTGTAAGGGATTTCGGGTTCTGTGTGTGCAATGCCACTGACTAGGAGGTTCAAAACCAAGGGACCCAGGGCATTAATTGGGTTATAGGAGGCTATACCTATGACTATCAGGCTTTGGATGCACACCTGTTTCTGGATTCAGGGTTTTTTGGTAGAAGTCCTTAATGCCAGCTTTTGATGCCTTCCTGTTTGAATATTGCTATCTGCACACATTTTTTAGAAGAGCGGTTTGTACCAGTGCAGTCAGGTTACGTGGTTTAGTTGATGGCCTTAGCTAAACAACTGGGGTTCACATAAACCTCCTTTGGGTCTGGATTAGCACATCTGTCCACAGCCACAGAAAGCTTGGAAAATAAAGACACAAAGAATTTTTGGTAGCCGTGTTTGTTCGATGACGCTTGGGAGGAGGGAAAAAAAATCTGACATTTTGGGAAAGAGCATTAGTAGCTGGGAACACAAGTTTACACTACTGTGCAAAGAAAGTACGGTTTATTCCAGAAGTGTTCACAGAAAAAGGAACATATGCCTACTTGCCGCAAATGAACAAAATTGTATTGAAGAATTAATTCCTTCATTCCGTTACCTTTCCAAGCAGAAATAACTCATTAGGCCTCAGATATTGTTTAATCATTCAGTAGAGCATCAATAATCCTTATAATGTAGGTGAGTGTTAAATTTTCAGGCACCTAGTATAGTTTAAGATGTTATACCTGCCCTCGAAAGGAGATTGCCCCACCTCTGGAAAGTCAGAACAGAGCTAGTGAGCATTTGTCTGCCCATTCATCTATTCCTCCAGCAGCTGTTTAAATAACAAGTTATACTTTGATGTAGTAAATGGCTAGCAAGGAGGTTTGGTAAAGTCTTAAATATGAAGGTTTTTCTTAGATGAACATGTGTCTGATCACTTCATGTTTACTATTACTAAAAAATCTCATTTGGCTCACGTACAACTAAATACCCAGGATGGAATCAAAGGAACACAATGTTTAAAGTACTCTTAATGTCAAAAATAAAATTATCAGCTTTCAATAACAATTTCAAACTAAATATAGTTGGCAGAGTCCCTTAGAAATAAAGGAGAAAAATATGCCACAGAGAAAAATGATCAGCAGAAGACTCATTAATTTCCAAATGCTGCTGATCAGTCCTGTGATTAGCCCCTTTCTATGCCTATGCCTAGTTTAGTGCAGAACCGTGTGCCTGTGACTCTGGCTACTTTTACACCAGTGCCTGTTCCACAGCACTGCAGTGTCTGCAGCTTTCATTGGCTGCAGTTAAGCAATATGCACTTCACTACACAGGAAATGTCACAGAGAATGCTTTGTTTTGAGTGATTAAAACAACATACAGAGTTTTGAAGAAACCCCCTCTGCTTGGAGTATATTTTGCTGTAGGCAGAATGACATGCCTTCAGGAGCATTCAAGCCCAGATTCAAAGAAATACGTGGAACCAACTAAAAGTACTGAGACAGCGAGAGGAGAAAACCACCACATGAAAGACACTTCTCTGCTTACTCGCAAGCGTAAGATCCAAATCACTTTTGACTTTCTCCAACCAGTTTTACATCACTGGGGCTTCCTTAATCTCAAGTTTTTTGTTTAAGAATGAAAAGACAGCCTGATAAAATATTTGCTGACATTTTTGACCAGCATCAAACTTCTCATACTAGCATGAGGCCATCATAAGATACTTGTAGAGCCTAATTCCTATCACAGCAGGTATTCACAACGGATGCAAGTGAAATCTGAAAATGGAGGTTTTCTTTTCCTCTTTTTCTCTGTGTTCATTTTGTTTTCATGCCATTCCGTACAAACTAGTTTTAGGTTCCTATTTGTAATTGCTGAAAAAGGGAGAATGGACGCTAGGCAG